TTATATTTATGAATAATGATAAATATAATTCATATTGTTTATTATATTTATTTATAATTATTACACTTATCATTTTAAAACAATTTTTATCTCTTAATTTTTTTTTCTCCACTTGTATTAAGAATACAAATAATGCATATCTTGAAAGCAAGAAGTAATTATTCAACAGCTGAATATTTAGATATTCAACAAAACTATATCGTATTCAGCAAAATGAAATTCACAAGTATTTGGATAAACTAAATTTTCAGCATAGTAAATGAATAGGCTGAATATACTGTAAATCGACACTAACTGAACTAACATATGAATATAGGTTTTTGACAGTGAGGTTTTTGACGTGACGGTTTAAACCGTCAAAAACTGTCACATGTCAAAAACCTGCCAACCCTGATTCCAAGTCAACTTGTATAGGGATATAACACTTTAAAAATACTTCTAATGTGAACATGCTTACAGTAAAACATCTTGTAAGGTGAATTTCATTACAATTGGAAAACATTGGTACTTTTAATGCAAACAGAAACTTTATTTTCACTCTGACAGGTAATTGAAAACTGATCATTTGCAGTTTTATGTAAGTAAGAATAGGTTTTTTTAATGCTAGTGTTGATAAAAAAAAGTTGTATGAATTGAATCTGTTGATGGGAAGGGGGCATTAAATAACATAAGCCCTTTTCTACTCTTATGAATAGAATTTTCTTTCACCTCATGGAGTTGCCTCAAGGGTGTGAATGTAATGAAGCATGTTTTCCTGAGAAATGACCACCCATATTTATTATTTGTTCAACATGGGTAGTCATTTCTTCCGCACTCTCATAGGTTCTTGCTGAATTGCATTTCTGCTGGTGGAGCTAATATTTTTATTAAGTTTAACTGGCAAATACTTTTATTTAATTTCCTCTGATGGAATCTTACGAACTATTCATTCTTTTGCAATGCAAAAGGAAAGATATAATTATTTTTTGGATAAGTTAGAAGACTTGAGCAATTAAGAGAAAGCATGTGCAAATAATAAACCAAAACAGTAAGATATTACTGTATGTTAGTAATTCTCTCTAAATAGTACAATAAATAAGATTATTGTACAAATTATAGATGCAGTAATTTTTGTTTTACTTATTAATCATAAACTTATAATTCTTAAAAATCGTAAACATATAATAGTTCAAATTTAGGGACCATCCTCCTAACTCATTATTCAGACATCTTTTGATCATCTTATGAAAAAGAAACTCAATATTTTGCTGTCGAAATTTCTTTTCTCATTATGTTCTAATAATCAATGTAATTTTTTTTCTTAAAATGATGTTAAAGATAAACTTATTAACAATTTTTTCTCTTGCCCATCAAATTACAGTACACCATTGCAAAGCATTGTTTCTCAGTTCATATACATTTCATTCCATTTATTGTAACTAATTTCTTGATTTATTTTCCCTTATACTTTGAGGACCTTTATTGCTAGTTTACAATATATTATGTTTATTTTCTTTCTTTTTTTCTTTTTGTATAAATTAATTTTTTAGTTTATATATTATATATGATTTAGTATTGAAGTTATTTTATTCATGCATAGTAATTATAATTTTCAGTTTTTTTAAAACTTATTATGATCTATCTTTATATTGAGGAATCAATTTCCGAAGTCAAGAAAATTTAAGTTACAATGTTTCTCACTGTTTGAACGCAGATGTTCAAAATCGCTCTGTTTTTCAAAATCCTTTTGGCTCCACTTGTACTTATTTTAATTTTCAATTTAAAATATTGATTGTTGCCCGCGTTTTTTTTTTTTTTTTTTTTTTTTTTTTTTTTTTTTTTTTTTTTTTTTTTTTTTTTTTNTTTTTTTTTTTTTTTTTTTTTCCTTCTTAATGTTGTGGAGAGTTTAAGAAATATGTTGCACAAAACAAAATTTTCACAACAGTTGATTACACTATTTTTAGTTCTTTGTTTCCTCTTCTTACAAACAATATGTATGTATTTCCCCAAAAAATTGTTATTGAAGTTTTTTATGAATATAAAATATTGTATTCTTTCAAAAGTATTATAGTGATTTTTAGTGCAACTTATAATTCTTTAAATAAATCATTATGTTTTAATTTTAGTGTCGCTTGTTCGATTTACGAGCTGATCGTGAAGTTGCTGTTTATTCTAAGCAAAGTATTATTTTTGGAGTAAATTCAGTTGATTTTTCTGTCAGTGGTAAGTAGCATAAAATTATATTTATCTTCAGTAGCATGTATATTTATTGTGTTTTAATTGTTTAAACATTTTTCAATTCCTATAATTATTTTGCAATTAAATGGTTGAAAAACTTGTCTTTATTTTTTGCTGATAACTAATTTCGTTTTGCTCTTAAAGATATATGTCTTCTTTATTTAATTTATCTCATATGTTTAGAGGTTTTTGAGATTTTTTGTTACATGCTAATAGAGCATAATTATTTTTTCAATAGTTTGACTATTTTTTTTTCGCAGTTAAAATGTTGTACAAAATCTAATTTCTCTAGCCATTCTAACATAGTTTACAATCTAATTATTTAAAACTCTACATAATTTACAGCTTTCTTGTTATTTCTGACTTTTTAAGACAATTGTTTGATCTTTTCTTTGTACAATTGATCTTAAATTTTCTAAATGCTTTTTTTCTTATTGTTTGATTTAATTTTACTTCCTTAGGTCGCTTGTTGTTTGCTGGTTACAATGACTATACTGTCAATGTTTGGGATAGTTTAAAATGTGTCCGTCTTAGTATTCTATATGGGCATGAAAATAGAGTTACTTGTCTAAAAGTGTCCCCTGATGGTACTGCGCTCTCAACTGGCAGTTGGGATTTCACGTTAAGGGTAGGTCAATTTATTTATTTTTATTATTAATCAAGAAGGCTTTGAAGAACAATCTTTCTTTTGTTTTCTAAAATTTAATAATTATCTCTTTTAAAGCTTTATTTTGCATTAAAAGGGCTCAACCTGCTGTGGCCCACCGGAGCATCTGAACAAAATAAAAAAATTATTCTTTTTTTTTAGACATGCTTATCTTTTGCAGGTTCCAATTTGAATCTATATAGTTTTTCAATCGCTTTTTGAGCTATTATTGCTATATAATTCCATACGATGTTAAAAATTCCTAAATTTTTAAGACATGAAATTCGAATTTGAGTAATCACTATTTAACACTCTTCATTTCTACAGATTTAATTGTAAATTAAGGCAAAATTTATATAGTTTTTTTCGACAGTTATTACTATTTATTTCTATGTGCCTTTTAAGAACCCGATTAAACTAACGGAAAGTTATTTTTCAAAGCCTTATTGCCTAGGAAAGCAAAAAAGCCACTCCTTGGGAACTTTAAACTTGAAACAATATTTTAAATATTAGATATATGAACTATCTTGTTATAAAGAATTTTTAGACTTTAAAGACTGTTTACATTTTTTCAGATGACTTTATTATCAAAAAAATCATTAATATTCTTTAGGGCTCTCAGTATGGCGCTATTTTTTCTACTTACATAAAGATAAACATAATTCAAATTGACGAATAATTCTAACGCTTTGCATATTTTTATCAACATGAATTATAGTTACATTTTACAATGTAACTGTAATTTTTCAAATGTTAAAGAATAAAATCTCTTTGTTTTCATAATTAATGTAAATGGATTACTAAAGATAGACAAAAATTGACCCAACAGTCAGGAATAACTGTTACAATCTCACAACAATTATAAATATAGCACTTGTATTCCATAAAAGGCATTGTTTGATATGATGACAGCGCCTTCAAGAGCAACACAAACATTTTACTTTTAGACATAAAAAACCTCTTTTTATATAAGACTTAGTATCAACCTAATACTTGACATGGGCTGCCATTATTGAGATTTTAAAAAAATAATTCCTTCCAACTTATCCTTTTTAGAATCTCCCCTACAGTTGGGATGAATGCAAATGGTAAAAACAAAAAACTTAGTTTAGGTATTTAACAACATAAGTCATGATTATATGCCATCACGAATCAGGCTGGGCGAAGATGAATTTGTTTTTGTGTATTAAAGCTTCTTCTGTTCTATTTCAAAGTTCATACAAAAATGAGTACTTCGGTCTTTATAATAGATTTTTGAAATTAAGAAGTGTAAGACATAATGTCCCAGTAATCCATGTTACAAAATTAGAAATTCATTGAGGTGAAAGAATCCTTATTTCTTTAAGCGAAAACTTTTCTGATAATATTTTATAAGGAATGTAAAGGTCTGCCATTTTAAAAGGAAATAAATCTATAAATATGAGATAGCTTTTCGTTCAGAATGCTGAATGAAAGAAAAGATTTCAGACAAAAAATTAATATAAAAGACTCATTAGAGGTTTGTATATTACATGTATGTCAATTTATTTTGCAGGTCTGGGCCTAAGAGCTTGCCATTCTTTACCTGAGGTTTAAAATTAATATTTCTACAGCAAAGTGTTATCTTGTTGAGAGTTGTCTTTCTCTGTCAACATGTTTATGTCATGAAAAATGATCCTGGTGAATCTTTACAAAGTTGCTCACGAATTTTGGGGGCAAAGAAATCTTAGCAGTCTTCTTGATGTTCTTGTGGGGGGAAACTGAAGACTTACCCTTAGTCCATAATTCTAGTCATTTTTTTAAAAATAAATATGAAACTTAGTGTCTTATTAAGTTACCAACCAATGCTAATGTTTATATGCATGCATTTAACACAAAAGAAACATTTTTATGGTATAGGACAGATATGAAAACATTTTTTTTAAAGGATAGAAGCTTTTTCAGGACAAATCACTACATATTATTTATTTCTGGTTATTTGGCAAAAAATATTTTATAATTAGTTGTTTACTTTTTCTTTCATAAGACTTGAAATCCAGATGTTATTTATACAAATAGATTTATGTTTCTATGTTTAGGCTGATATTTATTTATTCTGATATTCTACTTTTAATGCAATCAGTTTAATTTAAAATAATATATCCAATTACTTTTAATATGGTTGACATAGTTTGAGCTGTCAAAATGTAGTGCTTATTGTCGGGACTAGGACTTAGCGATATTAAGATTTTGACATCGCGCTATATTGTCACATCGTGATGTTTTATTGCTTTAATGTTTTACATTTAGTATTGCATAATTTCAAATTCTTGCATTTTTTGATTAATTATCAACAATAAATTGTGTACTTTTTTTAAAAGCAGAACAACTATACGCAGTAGGGAAGGGGGAGTGTAGCTGAAATTAGTCTGCCATGGCTTATGTCAGTAAATAAGTAATTATAAATATAAAATAAAAATTAAGACCCACACTGAGCCAGCATTTATAAAGCTCTTCTTGACCAAAAAAAAACCAACTTTGCTGATGGATTGAAGAATATTGAGAGATCCGAGTTACCTCCATCTTAAATTTATTTCAGTATTGTAAATTTTTATTTTAAAAAAAGGAATGCGTTTAAAAATAAAATGGATCATTGAATAAAAATAAAATCTTAAAAATTCGGATTTCGTAAGTTACTTCTTTTAATTAACATTGCATTTTTAATATTTTCTAATAAGAATTATTTCTCTATAATTAAAGACATGGATGCCATTGCAAAATAGTGGTTAAAAAAATTTATTGTAAAAAAATCGTCATCAGAGGATTCGCACAGTTAAAAGAAATCAGGTTTCCATAACTAAGAGATTCAACAACTTTTTGATTGTCAATCACTTCATCATGTCAGGAAAAGGATAAATCGCTATAAAATAAACATGGGGAAAGATAATGATCATAACCACAGCTATCTCACTTACAATCTGAAGAAAATAATCATTCATTAGGAGAATGGTTCTTCGTGCGCACTTGAAGCTATCTATATGCTATCAGGAGCAGTGCTCTTCATCGGGAAGCATCATGCACATCACAGTAAATCATATTTTCTAATGCTTCCAAAAATTGACAATCCAAACTTTGGATCAGCGATAATTGCATAACAACGATATTTTTCGATGTATCGCCCAATCCTAATCCGGACTAATGCACAGTTTAGGCAATGTTATCAATGAGAAGATAAGCGCAGTGGTTGGAAAGATGTTGGTTGTATCTTAAGGAGGCAAATCAGGTTAGAATGCATTTCCATGTGCTATTCAAAAGTGAAGCAAAATTGAGATTCTTTTATTAATTTTAGCAAGATTGCCTTATGCGGGTTTTTTTTTTCCAAATCAGTTGCATTTTTTTTTTTCTAATTTAATGCGCATTAATAATTCCTGTAATGGCTTTGTAGTAATAGCAGTTAAAATTTCTCTATCCTTTAAAAAAAAACTTCAAATTTTTCTACTTGGAACTCTTACTAAAACAAATTGATGTTATTTAAATTAATCAAAGCTATTTTTCCTCATCAGTACTCTTTGATGGAGGACTTATTCTGTTTTAATGCTTAAATGTAAAATTATATAGATAAAAAAAGAAAAATCTTATTTGTTGTTGAAAGTTTGACCTCAAAAACTACCTATATTCTCTTTATTTGATAATAATAATGTTTGTGTATGGCTAAACTTATTTTGACATTTTTATTAAATTTAACATAATGTCTGCGAATTTGTTACTGATTGGTTACATGTGTTGCAAACATTCTTTGCAGGAATTTGAACACTCAGTATATTTGTGCTTATAGACATTATACTATAAGTTTATTACATTATTACTTTCCTAATTTTCGACCTGTGCTCAAATTGCAAGAAAAATTTAAATTTATTTGCATACAATGTGTTAAATTACTCATTTAAACTTCATGTAAAATCGTGTTATTAAATATTTATTGTAAATTTGTTTAACATTGGTAAAATAAACTAGTCAATTTTTCTTTATGACAATCTAAATATTTATATAATATATATATATATTTATATATATATATTGCCTGTGTGATTCTGTGATAAAAATTTGTTGCTTAACTGTACTCTAATAAGATAAAATATTCCAAAATTGATTGCCATTGTCATTGAATCTCTAGTAAACATTCTTTCCCCTCTATTCATTTCAATTGCTCATTTTTTCATTCTGTACTTGGCATGATTTTCATTAAATTTCTGAGATATACCTTTTTTTTAAACTAATATTAATCTTATTCTTAAAGTATCTAATATTATTTCTAAATTGTTATAGTGTTTAAAAAATACTTTAGGTGTAAAATAGATTATGACAGGTATCATAATTTTAAAATGTTTTACTTTTGATGTAAGGTAGTTGTCTTTCTTTATTTGCTCTTAAAACTATAAAATTGATCTTAATAAATATTTAATGGACTGGGTTTTTTTTCCTCTTCAGATTCCATTCCATTTTAAAAGATTTCCCTATTATCTTCATAAATATGGTACTTACTTTTCCATAGTTATGAAATTGTTATAAGTATTACGTAACAAGTAAAAGTGCTATGCAATTTCATAAAAAGTTTATCAAAAATAGAAAATCATAAATTAACATGGCTCTTCTTTAACTGCCCGTTTTTTATTGCTATTCTTTTAATTTTTCCATTTATATATCAAATGGAATATTATGGTTTTAATTATGTTATGGATAATTTTATTTATTGAATATTTATTGTTTATTTAATGAATTGCCATTTCTCTGCATACCATAGAATTATGTTTTATTATATTATGCGCTTTTAATTATCATATTGCACGAAATTTAATATATTAATTCCCATTGCTTCATGTTCATGTTGTTTTTAGAGTGTTCATTTACAAATTGTGAAGTTGATATTTTTGAATAATACATTGATTGTTTTGTTATCTTTATGTTTCAGTTGTTTTGTATGTTACTTGCTATGTGCATTTTATCCAATAACAATTTTTGAACTTTTTTTCCTTTTGAGATAGATCAAAATTTTTCCCCTCTCTTATGAACGGGGGGAAAAATAGGTTGAGCAATATTATGCAGTTGTTTGCATTTCGGTGTTCATATATTATGCAATTGTAAGCAATGTATTACATTATCAATTATTTTTTTGAATTTCAAAGGTATTTTTATCTGGATTGATTTTTTAAAATATACTTCCTGTATATTTGCATTTATGAAATATTTAAATATGCAATATACAACTTAAAGATTTTTTACTTTTTCTAGAAATTTATAGTTTGATATTCTGTCCTTGATGTTTAATATTATTATAATGATAAAAACTAATCTGTGTAGAGTAAAAAAAAAAAAAAGTTTATTACCTATAAATTTTTTTGTGGATTATTTTATGATGTGTATTCAGGTATACCAACTTCTACAGGATATTTTTATGAAATTAAGATACATTAATTGAAATACTCTATGAAAGTGAGTACTTTTATTTTATAAGCATTTCTGTATTTTTGAAACTTACGTTGCAATTCTGAGATTACTCTTCATATCATTCATTCTTAAAAATGATAAAAATTTCTAAACTCTATTTTTTTTTAATGTGATTTTGATGGTTTTTATGTTAGAAAGTCAAATAAACACTTTTATTTTAGTATTCAGTTCTTTCAAAATTGGTTTATGTTTAATTGAAAATCATGTTTTCTCTTAGATAAATACAAAAATAATACTTTTTTTAATCATAAATATTTAAGAAAATTTTTTTTTATATAATTTCATTCATATTTTAACACTTTATAAAAAAAATACTTATATTTAAACACTTTATAGAAAAATAAAAGTTTATTTTTAATGACAATGATACCACTAATAAACTTGGTAACTTTAAAAACCTACAGAAAAATATTGCTAGAAGTTGATATTCTTGTAGGACACTTAAAGTAACAAATGATGACTAGTTTTTGGAATATTCATAATTGTTATTGTTGTGTTTTAATTACTTGTTTAGCAATATATATATATAAAAAATAACTATATTGCAATCAAAATTTTTTCTGTATTCATGTAATGTGCATTTTTACTGAAATTAAAATAAATAAACTTATACTTCAGAGCTCCTATAAAGGTCATTCTAACATAATGGTAAAGTTTATGTCCACAGTCAAAAATTGCCAATTATACTAAGTAAGCCATTTAGGCCAACAGTTCTTATCTAAAAGCTGTAAAATGTAAGACTTGTCCTAAACTTTATTATTTAATTATTTTGAACACGAAACTGAAAGTCATGTGCTGAGGCAATTAGATCAATTAAAGAAATTCCTATTTCTTTATGTTATTATTTTTAGCTGTTCCTAGTGATTTTACATTAAAAAGCTAATTAGTTATTATACTAAACAAGTTTAATATTAAGATTAACTCTATCCAGTTTAAATGAAGATTCCATACAAATAAAGCTTAACTATATTCAGTGTTATTATTCACCAAAAAATAATAATTGATTATTGATGGAGCCCAACACATGATAGTCTAGATTTACCACAATCAAAAGATTCAGTGATTAATTTTGCTTGAGCTTAATAATTCTTGAAAACTATGCAATAATATAAATTCGGTTTTTGAGTAAGCATAGCTGTAAACTTGCAAACATCATTAATGATATATTTTAAATAAATGGAGGAAAAAGCATCTGCAGTTTAAAAACAAGGTGCAATGTTAAACTTTTGCATAAGAATCATTTTTCAAACAATATTCCCAAAAGAACCAATTGATTTTTTTAGGATTAAGGGGTTAATAATTTTCCTTGAACCCAATGTACGAATTTCAGAATGCTCACTCAAACCATTCTGGAATTATAAAAAAGACACTCAGACAAACTCATCGCATATCTTGGTTGGTGCTGATACCATTTGCCACATGGACAAGCCTGCTTGGTGAAACCGAGCAAATTTAAGGCAGAGTGTGCTATTCTTGTTTTTCAGTGGCGCCATCTATGGTCAAGAATTCAACTTCTGCCACACATGTTTATAAGGCAGACCCATTGATTCATCCACAGATCGTAATTTTGACCTGAATCAGAGAACGATCGATCTCCAATCCAGTACCCCCAGAGGTTTTGTATTGTTATGGGAACATGGAGGGCTTTGTGTCTCGACAGAATTTTTACGTGCATCAGTCACCAACTACAGGGTGAGTCTCCGGCCGGCGGGGTTTGAACCCACAAACTCTCGGTCATGGGCCCAGCTTCCTAACGACCAGGCTATCCCGGCCTAATTCTTTTGTAATAGATACATATGTAATAAGTTTAAACTTGCTGAATAAGGTATAAAGATTTTTAGGACTCTATTTTACAAAAAATATTGAACCAGCTTTCATTTGTTACAATTAAAATTGAAATATGCTTAACATTAAAATGCCATTACCAAAGTGTTTTGAAAGTATTTTAATGATATCCAAGGACGTAGTAATAACTGCATCAGACATTTTTACTTCAGTTTTGAAGTAGCAGTAGCTTAAAAGCAAAGTTTTGATAAATACTGTTATTACACTGAAGAAACAACGAAAAGTGAAACTAAAATTATTAATTAAAGAAAACAATCTTTGTTGATAAATTTTTTTATGATAGCAGACATAGATACTTGTGTTAGCAGACAAAATCAGGAATTAAAATATAAAGAAAAATTTCATATTTATTATCTATTTACCATTGTGTGCGAATGACCTATAAACCATTAAATTGTATGTTCATTGTACAATAATTTCTTAGAGCTTTTTTGTTAGTGATTTTGATGAATACCACAAAAAAAGAAGAAAAAATTATTCTTTATAATTAGATCTCATTGTAAATAGATTTAGGATGTATGTGTATAATGTAAGAAAAAAATATCTGTTTTAAATTAATAATTGTATAGATTATATTTCACTTTGTTACAATTAGTTACTTCAATGTGGACCATGCTGTTTAGACAGTTGTAATAAGTTGTATATAAGACTGTTGAGAGAGTTATATGGAATAAAACATTTTCTTAGTCATTGTTTAATAATCCACTTGTACTTCTTGCATTTCAGAAAAGAAAAAAAAAACTTTTCACTCTTTTTGAACAATGAAACAAAATACAGTGATACCTTGAGATAAGAGTTTAATTCGTTCCGTAACCTTGCTTGTATCTCGAAGCAATTTTCCCTATTGAAATTAATTGAAATGCCATTAATCCGCTCCAGCCCCCAAAATGCTACCCCCAATTGTTTTTGTTACGTGTTTTTGAATAAGAAAAATGTATTTATAAATGACAAATATTGTATAAAAGCATAATAAAAGAGAATGTAAAGCAAAAAAAAACTGGTTTTATAAAGTGTACATACATATTTGTATTTTGGTCACTTAAATGCAACTTACACACAACTTAATTGCTACTGCATGCTTAATTTTAGTCACTGCTTTTCTCTTCACTGGTCTTTGCATTTTTAGCCGGAGTAAGAAAAAACTGTCCAAGGAGGTTTGTTTCTTCCTCTTTTTCCGACTGCTGCAGAAATGAATTAGGCAAGTGTCATTAAATAGCTCTGATGCACGACCAGTTGCAACTTTTTGGGGATGTTTCTTTTCCACGAACTGTGAAATTCTCTCCCATATTCCCAAGAACTCTTTTATCTCACTTGTAGAGATAACCTCCTCCACCTCTCGCTCTTCCTCGAAACCAATTTCTTGCAGAACCACACAATGCTGCTGCGACTGTAACTCTTGTGATTCCTCGGTCATCAGTTCTTGAGAGTGCTCCTCGACGAGCTCGTTCACGTCTCTCTCACCCATCACCAGGTCCATGGATTTTCCCAGAGACACAATCTCCTCCTCCACTGGCACTTCGTGTTCGAAGCTACAGACTCGGGCCACAGCACAATTTTCGGCTACAGACCCACTCTGGCCACAGCTTCTTCCATGCAGAGGTCAAGGTCTCGTTGTAACACACAGCCAGGCCTGATCAATAATTCTGAGGCATATCACAATGTTACAGTGGTCCTTCCAGTACTCTCGAAAGGTGAGGTTTGTGTTCTCTGTCACCTCAAAGCAGCGCCGGAACAGGTACTTAGTGTACAGCTTTTTAAAATTAGAAATCACCTGCTGATCCATGGGCTGCAGGATAGGAGTGATGTTAGATGGTGGATAGAGAACATTTATAAATTTGAACTCTTCGAGGATGTCATGTTCGAGGTTTGGTGGGTGAGCAGGAGCATTGTCGAGGACGAGAAGGGCTCGCATGGCCGTTCCTCGTAAAGCAAAACAAAACTTCGCTCTCTCGACAGTTTGTACTCGTATGTTTGGGCACTTGTATCTCGAGATATCACTGTATATTAATTTTTCAATTGTTAAAAAACTTATAATTAATTAGTAATTTATTTTTAAGAGGAACACTGTGTGATAAAACAAATTCATTAATTACATAAGATTACAAACTTTTCCTTTTTTCGAAAATCAGTTATTGAATTATAATAATTATGACGCTAATAATAACATTGTTACTAGTGAATGATTAAGGGCTTAGCACAGTGTTTCCCAATTTTACGACTTTTGTGTACCCTTTCTAAATTTTTGGTAATGCTGTGTACCACCAATAAAAAAAATGAATGCATTTTTTACTACAAACATTGCACTAAAGTTAAAAATCACAACTGGCTGTTGACAACACTAATTATTAATTGTTAACTCTGCAAAAAATAGCCAATAGAAAAATAAGTAATCGTAAATTTTCATGGGTAGCTTTGTTTTTAAATAAAATGTTATGAAATTTTCCTTTTGCAAGATATTTCGCATAAGAACTCGTACCCCTGGGGGTATGCATACCACACTTTGGGAAACACTGGCTTAGCAACTCTTTTAATTAAAAAAAAATCATTTAATTACCATTTTGTTGTTTTTCTTTGATTTACTGACCGATTCTATCCAACTAAGCGTTTTTTTTTTTTTTTAATTTTTATTATTAAAACAAGAACTCGAGGAGGAGAACACACATTAAGTGCTGCAAGAATTACTTTTTAACCTTAACCGTTTTCTTGGCTCCGGTTTTTAAAAACTGTCAGTCTGATTTAAGAGACCCTGTATAAACACAATCCTGAAAAATGAATGCTTAGCTAGAGATTATTTTATAACAGAACTTACATAACAGAAAATTATTATTTTTGTTTTATACTTTAAATTATATTATATAAAAAATAAATATTTTTTTATTATTATTTATCCTTTGATCGTGAGGCAAACAAATGCATTTTCTACTGAAGAGAAATATAATTGTGGGGAGAGCTGCATTAAGTTCACGGTCGATATCGCTTTTGTGTTGCCTTTAACAATCGAGTGTATACGTAGTGTGTGATCGAGACTGAGAAGCAACAGCGGGAGTAGGACAATGTCGCAGTTACAGGTAGTAAGTCAAGTGTTCAATGTGGACCATTTTTAATCGTACTGGGCGTTCTGTCTAGGTAGGCGTGTTCACATCACGTCCAAAAGTCACCAATGTGATGAGAGTAGTTATGGACAACGTCAACTTTCATCTATGAAAAGGTACATAGAATCGAGTTAACATGTCTCATACTAGGGAATCAGAATTGTATTTTTTGTAGTGGTAGATATATATACACTACAGAATCATTACATCATAGATATGTTAGAAACACAAATTTGTTGTCTTAGTTTTAAGTGAATAATATTAACGAATGCAATGATATTTTTTTATTTTTAAACTAATTACAATTCTGTAATGTTTTCGAGGAAGGAAATAATTACTCTTCACAATATAAAATTGTTTGATATCAGTTAAAACAATTTTAAGCTGTTATAAATTTTATACTGTCTCCGNCAGCTCTTGTATTGGCCATGGTGGAGTCAGGATAACATTTACAATTAGAATATATCAGTATTGCATTTGTGTATTATGCATGTCATTTAACCCTAAAAAATCAGTGTTGGGTGTACTGGACAAATGTATGGAGGACAGGAGGAATTAATTACTTTTATTATAGAATTAAATGTTTTAAGACACAGATATCTGTTTAATGAATGACAAAACATGACTCATATTGAAATGCAGGGGTGATTGTGAGTCCAAGTCAAAATTCCGGAAAATTTCTTGAGTTAAAAAAAAAAAATCGTTTTAAGTTGAGAAAAATTTGAACAAGGTATTTTTTCTTCCTTTTTCTCAATATTTCTAAGTTTACCCAAAATATATTTAAAATTTACACATACCTATGATGACCTGGAGAAGTAATTAAAATTTACAAATATGTCTTTCTTTCTTGAGTTAATGATTATAACAACTATTAATCGATAAAAAATGAATATTACTCATGAATATAAGCTTATAAAGTATCTCTCTGGCTCTCCCTTACAAACAAATAAAATAAACTGTTTATAAGGAAATTTGACCTTTGATTTCCGGAAACTTCTGCGATCAATGATTTTTTGAAACTTCCGGATCACTGTTAGCGAAAAATCCGGAATTTTTCCGGAGCACAATCAGCCCTGGAAATGTAATGTAACGAATCTAAGGGATTTTTTGACAGAAAAGAATTTAAAGCCCGATTGATTTCCAAATTTTAGAAACTTCTCCTAGTTTTACTATTCAATCTAATTGGTTTTGATATCTTTCATCCCGTCTCTCTCATTAGTGGTTAAACATATTTCGATAAAATTTTTGTTTCTTTCTTACTTAAATACTAATTTGCGACACTGAATTTGTATACCTATCTTAGTACATTTTTGTGAGGAGTTTAAAAAGGTATATTGGGCATTGACTGATGTAATGATAGTTGATTATAAGTCTGAATACAACAATGATAATTTTATTTTTAAAAGAAAGATAAAAATAATTACGCATTAAATAGAAAAGAATTGGAGTACAATAAGCTTACATTGATTAATTTTCTATTTCAAATAAAATTCGACATAAGGTTTTGAGAAGAAATTCTTCGAAATAGGAATTCAAATTAACATTAGGCTGATATAAAATGCTAAGGGGAAATATTTTGTTGTTGTGGTTGACATACTAAGGTTTTTGTATCGAGGGTACACTTCATAAATATTAAATAATACACCATGCTTATTAGAAAAATTCTTTATTGAGTGTATCAAATTCAAAATAAGTAATGACAGATAATTTAAAATACAAACAGCATATTTTGAATAGTTCCTTAGTAGTTCTCATTTCATTTAGATATAATTTCATACAATGAAGATGGTAAGTTTAATAGTTATTCTTAATGTCATAATAATAAAGTTTTATGTATGTCAAAGTAATGAAAAATCATTTCATTTATACAATGAAGACAGAAACAAATTATATGATTTAAAAGAAAAACCCTATATAAGTTAAATAGTAATTCTTAATGTCATAATAAAGAAGTTTCAGTCAAATGCATTTATTGTGAACAACAAATAATTTCCAAGAAAATGAGTTCTAAGTTAAATAGTTCTTCTTAATGACGAACTAATAAAATTTCAGTCAAATGATTTATGGTAAACAACATTTCAAGCAGTATCATAAAATAATTTAAATAAGTTCTCTAATGGGAAAGTACACTCATTCAGCATCTTCATTCTTATCTCCTTCTTCTTCTTCAGATTCATCACCATCTCCTTCCACATCACTATCACCAGAAACTTCAGCATTTTCTAGTTCAAGTTTGTTTAATTGTCTTGCAAGTTCAGCTTCATCAAGATCCGTGAGAACTTTAGGCTATTAAGAAGTAATACATTACTTAAAATTTCGATAATTAAAGTAATAGAAAAAGAATTGATTAAAAGATTTGGGTACAGCTGATGAAGTAACTTCTTTTTTCTACCTTTAGCACACTAAATTTTAACCTTTTCTTGCTATATACTGGTTTTGAAATTTATTTTTTTTATATGTATAGTTTCTCATTAATGTGGCTCTATTAATGGGAAATTTTTCTGATATGGAGTTTTGGAGTATGCTCGATATAGGCTTCAAATTTTCAAATGTAAACAGTTGTTTGACTGCCAACTTTTCAAGCAATTCAGTTCGTAGAATTCACAATACTTTATAAGTCTTAGTTTAAAAATTATTAAAGAAGGGATATTAACAAAAATATTCAATTGATCATTTTCAGGAACTTGGGGAAGATTCTTACTGAATCTGATTTGACCCGCCTGCTCTAATTGCACCAATCAGATTTTTAATTTCCCAATGTATATATTAAATAAATTTTAAATTCAGTGAAAAAGTTACACTAAAAAAATTATTTTCCATTACAAATGAAAGTAATTTAATGAATCGTTTGCTTTTCCTTTTTTTCTTCTTATAAAAAAAAGCAGTCAAAGAAAATATCTCTACTCTTTTTATCTAAGGTTAAAATCAACTTTTCTAAGTGGAAGCGCTCAGACAGGACCTGGGTTTGATCCTCGGGCCGGGCAAGGTTGACTTAGCCTTTCATCCCTTCAGTGGGTCGATAAAGGAGTACCAAGCATGCTTGGGTACTAAACCCTGGGGGTTCCGCGTTCGGCTGACCACCTGACCAGAACATCTGCTCCTGCACCCCGGAGCCCAAGGTCAGGAAAACTGAGATGGGCACAGTAGGCCTTGGCCCTCTATAGGCTGTCCTACCACTGAGTTTAGAGTTTAAAATCAACTTTTAAGTTTGTCAATCTCTACTCATAAAACCGAATCTTCAGTTGAATGAAGTCAAATTTATCATTTATTCTTTTCCCAATAAAAATTAAGGTTAATGATACTCAATTTCAAAATAATATTAAAATGTTACATTATTTCTTACATATCAGATTTTATTCATTAAATCTAATAAAATTCATAACATGACTTACTATATGCTATTTTATCAAATACTTTATAAAAGAAAACATAAATAAGGTAAACCAGAAAAAAAATTTAAAAAAAAAAAAGAATAATTGTTTTTGAATTAACTTACAGCAATCAAAACATTGAAAATTCCGTCTGAAGCCTTGATTGTAGTTTGGATTTTTTCCAAAGCTTCCTGTAATGCTTTCAGTCCATCTGCTTTTTCCATTGTTGTAGTAGTACAAACATATAGAGGTGGAGCTATTAGATTAATCTAAAAAAAATGTTTGAGTGTAAATAGTGAGTGGAGAAGGCAGAGTTCAGATAATCAGAATTCAGTTTAATCCTTGTTATTCATTCCTTGTTATTATCATATGATTAACACCTATGCATCATAATTTATTTTAACATTCTACTGATAAAGCTATAGCTTATGAGTAAGATTGCAAATCTTACTAATATTTATTGCAATATCAGTGTTAAAAACATAAAAAACCCAAACAAGCCATTTAGAAATAGCGTGAAATTGTAGATCATGTGTTATTTAAAATCACCGTATGTATGAAAAGTTCTTATTCAATGGCATGTCAGTCCACGGTGGGCCCTAGTCTTCTGAAGAATTTTTATCCAGACAGCTCTTGTATTGGCCATGGTTATTCACTCTCAACATGGCAAAATCTCTTTCTAAGCAGTAGATCCCTAGCTCATAATCCAGTGGGCCTGGCAGAAAATGTTTTTTTTTTTTTTTTGCGCTGATTGTTGATTCTAATAACGTGGCTAGCCCATTAAATTCTTTTAATTTTTATGNCTTGAAGGTTCACTATAGCGGCGCTGATTGTTCATTCTAATAATGTGGCTAGCCCATTAAATTCTTTTAATTTTTATGTGCTTCATGATGTCAGGTTCTTTAAAGGTATGGTAAAGTTCCAACTTTGAGCATCTGTGCCAAATGCCATCAACTGGTGTTCCATCTATATATAGTGGTTACTGTATTAATTTGAATTAACATGTAAATTTACCTAATGCAAGTGTTAAGTAATCCAACAGTCTCAAAAAACTTGTAGGTTCCAGTAATCCACAGTATTTTTTTAAAAAATAGTGAGATATCCATTATAAATCTATAAATATCATCAGCCTTAAATAATCATTATAGAGTCTGAAGTGAGTGATGAAATATTTATAGTTAAGTAAATAAGAAATTTATTGGAGAAAAAAATTAAAAAACAAAAATTTCACTTCTGAAGATTTAAGCATGTTGGGTAAGAACATCTACTTGTTTCTTTTGATGGCTTTGACCAGTCTCTTTAGCGTAACTTAGAGTTTCAAAGATCTTCCCATAATCGAATCACTAACACACTTGTCAGTCACCCTGCTTTTGGAAGCCAATTTAGCAACAAATCAGTTCTAAAAATTTTTTAGACTGATCTAGGTTTCTCATTTACTTCTTGCTTAAATTAGTCGTCAGTAAAATTAATTGCGCCTGATAATTCCTACATTATGCAGAGAAACTTTTCACAGACAAATTTATCTCTCCTCTATGTAGTATAACAAAGAAAAGATAAAAATATTGAAGGAATAATATTCTAATAGTAAGAAATGTTGATGATTTACTGAAAGAGAATAAAACAACAATTTAAAAGAAAAAGAAGAATATGAAGTTCTAAAACTTTTTTAGAAAGAAATGCTTCATTTCTAATATATCATTAGTAATGAACTTGTCTAGAGTTTAACTTGTGTTAAGAAGTTAATGCCAAAATATAGAAATTATATATATATATATACAGTCAAACCCCACTATAGTGAACCAAAAAAGTGAGGAAGTTGGATATAACGAACTTTTCTCTGTCTTCGACTGATTTTTTCACCATTTTTTTCTTTTTTTTTGTGTAATAATTTTGAAATTTCTACTTCAAAATCAATACATATACCGATTTTCAGAACCATCTATAGAGGGGAATGTAGCGATAAGCATTTTTCTTGTTTGCTTCTTTTATCTCTCTTTCCCATCCCTAAACAAACCAAGCAGATGTTTCCAACTCAGGCAGATGATCCACCTGTAAGGTGTCAGTGGGATCAATATGCATTTTCTGTCAAAGGGAATGAGTAATTATTAATTATTGGTCAAAGGGTTGG